AGAAGAACTGATTTTTGAGAGTCTCTGAAATGTATTACACCCATTCTAAAATGCAACCGATACAGCGGGGAAAGTATTATTGCTGTGAGTAATGTTGCCCGAGACCACTAATTTGATAGCATGAGGACAATGGCTACCATTTTGTCATCTTTTGAAATAAAAAAGCTGACAATCATTGTCACAGCTGTGATCATGTTTTATATAAAATGGATGATCATTTATCCTTCAGTGTTCTTAAGCTGGTCATGATAGTGATACAAAATTGTAAGGCTTGAAAGGCCTCTGTGGCAGCAGTGGTTACAATGGCTAAATTATGAGTGTGGAGAAGAAAATATCAATCTGTCTGGAGGTGTAATTGTCAGAGACCTTTGTAGCCATGTACGGCAACATCAGAGAACTTTGAAAGGTCATGTATTAATTCTTTCACTTCTCTGAACATCTTGTCTGTTCGATGACTAGAAACCTGACATATGAGCTCAAATCTCTGCGTCCTTGGAAGGTGATGAAAGCAGTGACTCATTCTCAGAGGTTGGCTTGTTTGTTGTAATAAGTGTACGCAGAGACTTGCAAAGATGGAGAGGTCTAAAGATGTCCGGTACACAGACACGGCAGGAGGTCTTGGCAATATTGTAAAAAAGCGATAAGACAGATTTCCTTTTATTTACAAAAAATAAAATCACAAATATCCAGATTCTTACATAATATATCAAGAGAATATTGAAATAGTAAACAGATGCACAACTGCAAGCCGCAGGAGGCACCAGAATGCCTCAGGTCAAAACCTTAGGCCTGGAGTTCTAAACTTTTCAAATAAATTGTATGCATAATCAAAACATTTTTTCACAGTTTTGGATACAGTGACAGTACCTGTCAAGTTTTTCTTGCTGTGTCTCCAATGTCAAGGTCTACATTTCCTTTGTCTTGGTGACCATTGTCATGAAAACAGAAAGTGATGTAAAAGCCAAATTTATGGAACCAGTTCATGACATCTGTCTATGGGGAATTATGCTCACATTGTAGAGATTTCCACACATTTCTTGTTGTGTCTCCAGGACAGGAAGTGAATAGAAATGTTGCCAGTGGGAAACATACAGTAATAAACAAAAGTGTAATGAGCTTTAACCCTTCCATTTTGCATCCAAAACTAAATGAAAAAGTTTTTTGTTTGTATATTGTGGGAACTCTCTTCAAATGGTAGAGCTTTGTTAAACGCACACAGCAACTCACTTTCTTTTTTAAGGCCTTTTTAGCCCACTTTTATTTAAAAGAACGTAACTTAAAGCTTGCCACGCAGGGGTATCCACCATCAAACACATGCAAATGAAAATTCAGCCTCTTGGCTTGTACACAGTTTTCTGTCTGTCTCCTACAGACTCCTTCCAAAATATGGCTCTCACACACAGCTGGTCACTAGCACACAGCTAGTCTGGCTTCCACCTCTCCTTGGTGAAGTCCTCCTGATTCCAAGGCAGAGACCTCCTGTCTGCCGGGGTGGAGCCCTCCTGACTCCTGTCTGCCGGGGTGGAGCCCAGAACCCTGGTCCTGACTCTAGAAGATTGCCCTGCACACCTGAGCAATCAGTATCCTGGCCATTTCCAAAACCTGGTCCCAGGATTGTAGATTTCAGCCCTCCCAGATCTCTTTGAAATCTCCAGGCTCCAGATCCCAAAACAGACTTAATGACTAAATGAAGAAACCAAAAAGCCAGTTTCCTCTGCAGTACATAAACCCTCTGGAGCCCCTCAACCTGGTTGAGAATCCTGGGTGAAATAACTCTTCCACATCGTGACAGATCGCCACACTGTCACAATATATACACTTTAAACATGAACACTTAGTGCACAAACACCGAATAACAGAATTTAAAACTAAAAGTAAAATGGTGGTTTATTTGTACTCAATGTAATGTACACGTAGCTGATAAGAGAAGACTAGTAGGCCTCTTTTACACAAACGGTTGTTCTGCCACTTGTAAATGCATGTTTTTTTATTTTGAAATTCCAACACTCCTGGCACAGAGATCACTCACGTTTGTACATTGCATTTATTTGCTTTTCCATGCGGCTGCATGTATCTGGGGTAGTAAATTCTTGCCTTTTCTATAGCAACTGTTTATTTTCTCTTTGTACTGCGAGTAACTGCATCAATGTACAAATAGCTGTGGTATATCATTCCTGGACGCTGTCAACTGTATTTTTCCTAAAAGCATAAAACTGTATGTTATGAAAACATTGCTAAACACAGTGTGTGAATAGAGCCATAGGGACGATTTGTTTGCATTAGTTGCGGTAAATAACCCCAGCTAAAAGCTGAAATCCTACCGCCTGTGTGAAAGGGACCGTAGTCTTGGTTTGAGCATCTGCCTGCACAGGCTAATGATGAGTTGTCCACTGTGTCCCCCACTTAATACACCCTAGATAGAGGATCTTCTAGCCCAAAAAGTATTCTTGGGTCCTGGAATAGATTGTGATGTTATTCCCCTACCCTTTCCAATCCACAGTTAAAGTAGATGTAAACTCTAAATAAATTACAATGTACATTTAGTTTGGTAAATGTACTGAGCATCATAAAAGCTTGCCTTTTAAAATCCTAGTTTTAACCTTTTGGTCATCCTTTGTGCTTGGGCATCATCTCAGTGCTTCTAATTTTTGGAAGCCCCTCAAGCACCTTCCTATCTACAAGCACGCACTCCAATAATGACGGCATGACAATAACTAGGGCAGCTTTCGTGATGGTGAGAACAGTGGTCTTTGCATTGATTGTTGGAAAAACCAGTGGCTGTCTCTGTCGGAAGCCTGTGTGTCAGGGTGAAAGCATTGGACCACAGATGGAGAACAGTGTCAGAACACTGCTACCATAAAACAGGAAGCAGAAGAACAACAACTTTCACAGAAGGATCACCAAAGTGTGACATTACTCTGGAGTTTATCTGCTTAGCGGTGGAGGCCTGGTGTACAGCAAAGGGTGAAGGACCTTTTCTATGCTATCTTTGAACTGGTAGCTGTGTCCTGGTGTTTATAGGAATGGCCTTGCAGATAATGTGGGCCTTCTCCCACAACAAACACTATTTGTGACTTGAAGAGCTGAGCTCACAATGCTTTTTAGCAATGAGCATGTAATTCATTGAATCAAAATGACTTACCAATCTGCAGCACCTATAGTACATATATAGGAGGCACAATTACAGATTCATGAATCAGTAATGACTCACCAAAAAATAGGAACTAGTAGAAAATGAGTAAACACCAGCATCCAACTATGGATGTAAGAACCAGCAAACACAAATGCTCCTGCGCTTGGGGATGGACTCGATGCAGGCTACAACCACATAAGGAATGTCCTGGAACATGCACACCTTGCTGCCCTCAAATGGACCGGGGAAATCCAAATATACTGAATGAGGAAAGAAAAAACAGAGGGCGCACAGGCCTAGTGCATTACCATAAAAAATGTTTAATAATAAATAATAAATTAATAAAGTATGTGTTGTACTCACAAACGACAATATAGTCAAGGCACATCATAAAGAACAGCTGGGTCAACACCGTGCCGAGTAACAGTCCACAATAGGGAGTGTAGACATCCAAAAAGCTGATGCATTTTCGAGGACTTGCCTCTTCCTCAGAGCCACTCTGGCTCTGAGGAAGAGGCAAGTCCTTCGAAACGCGTCAGCCTTTTGGATGTCTACACTCCCTATTGCGGACTGTTACTCAGCGTGGTGTTGACCCAGCTGTTCTTTATGATCCAACTATGGATGTACCTGACTAAAAGTTTGGCTTGTCCTTTCACAAGGAACATGTAGGAGTGTTCCAGCTTGCATTACTGAATTCCCTCAATCGTCCATTTCATTTGTCATTAATTTCAGCAGGATTTCAGCACAGATCAGCACTGAACAACTCTGCATCCCACGTGGGTGAAGAAGGTTTCTTCACATGAGCGTACAGATTGATATATTTATAATGTTCTACACAAAACATTTTGCCTTTCATTTCTATGTTAAGCTGAATGGTTTGTTTTAAAAGTTAAGGGTTCGCATATACTTTAAGGTAAAAACATATTGAGCTTAGATTCACTCTAAAGTTATGCCCTGAGCACCAATGATGAGTTAAATGCTTGCACTGGACACCAATGTAAAGTTGGTGTTTTGCAATAAGCACCAGTGCAGAGTGATTTTTGCAATGGGTACCAATAGAAAGTTAGTGATATCACTGATATCACTGCAATTCTGTTGTATATTTTATTAGTGTCTGTGTTTGTTATATCTCCTATGAACTGTAGATGAGAATATTGTTTCAGGAGTTCTTCAAGATTTTCTTCAGATTTTTATTTTATTTTTAGCAAACAAATGGTGCAATAAATATGACTCTCAATGGACAAAGATAAAAATCATGAATTATGACACTTGAACAAAGTAAAAAAATATATCAGGACAATTTAAACTGAAAAATTGTATATGAAATAACACTAGTCCGAAAGCCAGATCAGATGGTAGAGCAAGCAGATATATCCTTCAAGCCATGAAACGGTAACTGTTGTTTTAACTTGTCAGGCCATTGAATTGAGTAATAAAAAAATGTAAGGAGTTGGAAAAATAAAAGGGAGGGGAATAGAAGGGGGTTCTTAACTGCTTAATTGGATCTGATCAACCTCTGGTCAAGGTTCAAGCAAAGAATTTGTCAAAATTTGAGGGGAGAAAGTGAGAAACCCATGGATGCACACTTTCAGATATTTCAAAACTTTGTTCTGTAGTGTAGCTTCTATTTTAGCATGTGTCATGGCTTGTGCACTGAGGTTTTTGGTCTAAACTATGCAAATAAGCTTTTTTTTTTTCCAAGCTCAAGCATCATCTATTTAGAGGTTATAGTTACCTGTAGCAATAATTTAAACTGAGATTTCAAGGGTTCCTCAAGGTGAAAATGTTTGCTGATCCTGGTGACACGTCACAATAGAATAGCTGAAATGTTACAGAGAGGAAAGCTAATATTACTTGTCACTTACAGGGATGGCTGGAAGGCTGTGTTAGTTTGCTCAGGAATGGTGCCAAGCAGAACATACCAGATAAAAATGGGAGACTTCCCCTGCATGCGGCCACTGCTGAAGCTGATGTCAGGTACGTGGGAGCATATTATTTCACAATTGCATTGTTCTCTTATCAGTTATATGCAACACTGTAATAGCAATGTCTCAGTCATAACAATTTAATTTTAGCATTGTATACAAGTAAATCAAGTAATCACATCAACCAGTAAGAGAAACTGTATCATATGGGGCAGCACACTGGCTAAATGGTTAGCACCGCCTGGCAGTACTAGGGTCATTGGTTCAAATCCCAACCACAGCACCAACTGCCTGTAGTTTGCATGTTCTCCCTGTGCCTGTGTGGGTTTCCTTCGGGTACTCCGGTTTCCTCCCACACTCCAAAGACATACTGGTAGGTTAATTGGATCCTGTCTAAATTGTCCCTAATATGTGTATGTATGAATGTGAGTTAGAGACCTTAGATTGTACACCCCTTGAGGGTTAGAGACTGATGTGAATGTACAATATATATATACAGTATATGTAAAGCGCTGCGTAAATTGATGGCGCTATATAAGTACGTGAAATAAATAAATAAAATATAACAGAAAAATAAAATGTGAAATTGTGTGGCATATTTCTGCCCAGAGATTTCATCAGCATGCACAAATGGGTAGTTCATGGTTAAAATTTTGTTCCTGGTTGGGATCTAGTCCTCCATTTTCTGCTCCCAACCCAATAAGAACACACCCTGCTACCTTTTTTTTTTTTTTCAATGTTTACATACTTTTTCAATGAATCTTTGGTCCTTTTCTTCTTCTGGAGTGTTGTACAAAGAACACCACCACTTAATGATGTTGAAGCATTTTCCCGTGAGCCCTGGGAAGCTTCATGATGTACCCCCAGAAGGCATGGCTTTGAAGCCCTAGGTTCTCAGAAAGTGAATCAAATGATGCCAGACATCGTTGGACTCAGAAGAGGATCAGCACTGAATCAAAGAACAGTTAACTTGTGAAGGACAGCATCAGAGATAGGGTGATATTTTCAAAGAATACTGCTCATTCTTAATAATGCTGGGCAAATACAAGAGGGTAGAACCTGGAGCTAAAACTATACTTAATAACAATAAAACACAACTCCAAGTTGGTCTGCAAAGCAGCCTTAAGCAATCCATAGATTATGCAATTTTCTTTCCTTCCACCATGGGTTGAAGGAAAGAAAATGTCTTGATTCCCCGATCAACACAGTCATTGTTGATAGGGGAATCCCTCCCACACAATTATTCTGTTCTGTCAATGGGGAAACTTCCCTGTCCCTGCTGAACCGGCCTAGATTTGATCCATCTGTGGCTTGCTTTAGGGTACAGGCTTGGCCTGTCCAAAGACAGCACATGTGAAGGATGACCACTCTCACTGCTGTATGCTGTGAAGCTGGCCATAGACAGTTTCTTTTTGAGGTGGATTGAGGAATTTCCCCCATTGTATTCTGATAGCTGGATTCACTACAGTCAGAATACACTGATCAGCAGCTACAGCCTGCAGCCGCTGATTGACAAAAGATTTCCAGTTTGTCTCTTTGACAGAATTCAATCAACTTCTGTTGAGCGGGGACAGCCACAAACTGGACAAAATCTGGCTGTTCTCTGCTGAATTTCGATCAGCATATGGCCATTTTAAATTGTCTTTATTTAGATTGTACTAGCAGTATAAAACCTCATACATATTTCACATTGCTCTCAGTGCTCAGAAAGTTCTGATTAGTATAAAAAGCTAAATCCAGTGTGATTCAATTTTCAGACAATAAAACATGAAAACTTATAAGAGTATAAATATTTTTTTAAATGCTCTATAAAACATGATTGTAGTAGGCTGGGCTATATCCAGTACTAAGGGAAGCAAATACTGTATATTTTGGAGATCCCCAGAATCTAATTTAGTATTTTTAAACAAATTCTCTTTTGTCTTATTTTAGGCTTTTATCTGTACTTCTGCAGCAATCAACTTTAAGTGAGATTAATCATCAGGACAATGAGGTGGGTGGTATTTCCTTTTTTTTTTCAACCATACTGCCTTTTGTTCTCCATTGCTATTTTTTTGTGCAAAATAGATGATACATTTCACCAGCCTAAAAGTGTCCACACATGCAGAGTCAGCATAATCAATGTATATAGGGGTTGTCCCGGACACATGTTCTTGTAATAACAAAGTGTTGACATGTGAATGCGTAGAGGTGCACTCAGCTACTAATTCCTGTTGTGGGCTAACAGCACCTAGTGGTGTTAGCCCTGCCCAGTTGCCCCCATCTTGTTCTTCACAACATAAAGGTTAATTGTTATAGACCAAAATACATGTGGGGGACTAACTAATCTCTTTGAGGAAGTGTGCACAGGACAGCTCTAAATTTCTACATGGTGAACAGGTATTTTTTTGAACAGATATAACCAGGGCCATGCCGCTAATGAGGTCAATTGAAGTGGACACCTCAGAATGCACTCTTTGAGACTTGACTGAGGTGGCACTGAGGCCATATTGTCTATACCATACATTCTATACACAGTGCATGTTCAGCCCTGTGTACATTCAGTCCCCAAGCTGTACAGCTCATTGATGGCTATGGTACAGGTGACCTCCTGCACCATAACAAACAATGACATAATGTGGCCCACTAGCCAGTGTCCTAGCAACCAATGACACTTTCCAGCCAGCATCCTAGCAACCAACTGGGGATGGAGGTTAAAGGGAAATTGGAGCAATTAAGTTCATTGATAGGAATTACATAATTTGAAATATAGTTCTAACTGTCTAGCTGCAGAACTTGCTGATTATTTTTATCCCAAGGTATAAAAAAATCCATTGTTTTGTTTTGAAAGGAGATGAATAGAGCTGGGAATTCTGGAGAGCATATCTTACTAATTGGAGACTCACAGGTTCCTGCAGGGATTGGATCTCATTTTTAAAGTCTGAAAAATGTGGTATTTCCAAGTCAGGTGTTAGCTTTTATTTCCTAAACTGACAGCTTGGCTTGGCTGGTATACTCCTTTTCAATGCTTTTTATCAATTAGTGTTGTTGTTTGGACGTAATGCTAATTTAAAAATCCAGTGTCTGTTGTATTTTGTCTAAGTTTATTGTGAACAAACACAGTTGCTGACAGCAGTCATTTTCATTTGCTTCAAGCTCTTCATGATCATCTCGTTAATTTATTATGAAAGCTAAATCCAGTTGTTTATGACCTGTCACACTTTATCATGGGCAATCTTTGAGACCGAATGACTGATTAGGCAGTAATTGAATAAGATGGACTCCTCAGTTTATTATGTACAGAGTAAAGCCCCGTACACATGATGAGAATATTGTACGAATGATCGTTCTTTTTTTTTTTTGTATGCTAGTTTCATATTGGAAGTGAAACAGTTACTAAAGTTACAAAAATTCTTGTACGACAGAATAAAAATTTAGAAGTGATGTAAAGTATTGCATTGTATTAGAATTGTATTTTCAGTCAAAAACTGTATTGTTTAAATGAAAATCGTATGATCTGGTAGCTCTTACTCTATAGCTCTTACTTTCTCAATCCATATTACTCTTCTTATTTGAGGGAAATGTAATTAAAAATGGCTAAAAAGTCATAACCCATAACCCAACATGTTTCCCCAATACATTGACTTTATCAGGGTAAAAATATAAGTGCAAAACAAAACAGTATTTCTGACTTTACTTTCTGCATACTTATTCTAGGTTAGCATCTTAGAAAATAATTAAGTCAAGAGATCATCAAGCTTGTATGACAGAATAAAAATTCAGAAGTGATGTAAAGTATTGCATTGTATTAGTATTGTATTTTCAGTCAAAAACTGTACTGATTAAATGAAAATCGTATGATCTGGTATCATACAAGAAACATTTTCGTGCTTGTCCCTTCGAATAATTTCAGAAGAAAGCTGTGTACTGATTAGATTATCGTACAATCAATTTAAAAGCGGTATTTTTTGTACGATATTCTGATCGTGCAAATATATTCATTTGAAGGGTTTTTTTTTTTTTTTTAATTATTGCTGTTACAGAAACCATTTTTCAGGAGGCAGTGCTTTTTAAAATATTACAAAAACATGTTGGTTATATAGGGCACAATATTAAATCTATAGGCTTTGGTTTATCTGTAAAGTTCTGCCCAGGGGCGGACTGACCATTTGGAAACTCGGGCACTGCCCGAGGGCCCGGGGTCAGTAGGGGGCCCCATGAGATGCCCCTGGTACCTTTTTCATAGGTTTTTTTGAGCTTGGGCAAGGTCACAGGGGCCCCATGATCCCCTATTGCCCGGGGGCCCCATAAGTTGTCAGTCTGCCCCTGGTTCTGCCACAAATATTTTAAGTAGAACATGCCTTTTAAAGGGAATGTATAGTCTTTTTAATATTTTTTTTAGATAAAAAAAGTAAAAGAGATCAGCATGATGTAAATAATCTTATCAATATGAGGTAATGTTTTTAAAATGTTAATATATTTTTTTTATATGTGTACTTGTACTTATATATGTACTTGTATTTTTACATGTGTACTTGGGAGCAGCCATATTTGTTCATTACATATGCTGGCTCTTCTTCCTGGAAAACCACTGGGAAATGATGCAGTTTTTATATAATTTGAAATGTGTGGCTCAAACCGTGAAACGTAAAATGTAACCTTATTGACTTTCTTAAAACCGTGTACAACAAAGTACAACCATGTACATATTATGTGGCAACTATTATTTGACTCATCTTGTTCTCTGTGTGTCCTAGGATATAAGTAAGGGGGTAGAATACCCTTTCTGATTGCTATCCCTCTCTCTATAGCTTTTACTTTCTCAATCCATACTACTCTTCTTATTTGAGGGAAATGGCAAAAAAGTCATAACCCATAACCCAACATGTTTCCCCCAATACATTGACTTCATCAGAGTAAAAAATAAGTGCAAAACATAATAGTATTTCTGACTTTACTTTCTACATACTTATGCTAGGTTAGCATCTTAGAAAATAATTAAATGAAAAGATCATCAAGCTTGCCAATCAGCAAGCATTTTCTTCAAAGAAGACAGTGTCCAGCTCCTGACCTTTATTCAGTGGCACAGTCCCCTATCCGGGAAGATATAGCTGACAAGATTGCACAGCCGCATGTCAAAGTCTTTCCACCTGGGGCCATGCCTGCTCTTTTGCATTTATTCCTATTCCTATTCCACAGACTGCCTATGTCTACTACTACAAAACCTTCCACTTAGTGGTCTTACATTCATACAAATATCACAGACAACTGTTTTACTGATGAAGCTTTAGCTTATGAAAACCCCATAAAGGTGTCATTGGCTCCTAGTGAATTTAAATGTTGCATTTGTTGTACTGAATGTTGAAGTGGTATCTGAAATAGTCATTTAAACCACTAACCTCAACATGTGTATTTGCATTTTGTTTATGTGGTTTTTAGGCTAGCATTCTACAATTTTTCTGTATTCTTGTATGACAGGGAATGACGTCACTTCACTGGGCAGCATTTCATAACCGGCCACAGCATGTACAGATTCTGCTGCAGAAAGGGGCAGATCCAACATTGGTGGACAAAGATTTCAAAACTGCTATTCACTGGGCAGTTCAGGTACTGATTTCTAAGATGTGACCATGTGATATCAGCTCCTGATCGTTCCCATTTAAAATAAATCTAAAGACTCCTTTGACATGGGCTAAACATATCCTATTTCCAGTTACTAAACGAAGCACAAGCCCCATAATGTAAAATAAAAAAAATCCTTTACCTCACTAAAGTGAGACAAATCCTTCCCCATTGTGTCTCATAGGTTCCCCCACCCAGGCACTGCAGCTCACAGTGGGAGTGTTTCTGCAGCACAGCCAGTTATGCCAATCCAGAAAGCAGTGCGCTAGACTAAGTGTGGCCATATCTGCTGATTGACGAGCTACAGGCATATAAATCAGCAGTGACCATGCTAATAGCCTCATCCCCCAGCAACATCTTGTTATCCCACTGTAATGCAAGAATGCACAGCCTACGTGAAGGACTACACTGCTTTGAATGCGGTAGTAGCGTAGCAGTGTTGTCCCCTATCATAAGAAGCTGCATGAGGTGGACATGATTACTTACAATTAAGTGCTGCAGCACATTTTTTTTTAATAGGAGGCCATAGTTCTCCTTTATTGTTGTGGCCCCCCCTATTTCCTCACCTCTCAAGATCACCAGTAATTGCAGTGGTCACCAGAACAAATACAGAGAGAATCTCCCCAGCAAAACCTAGCAGCACATGAAATATATTACAGGGGTTTTAATCATTCCCTAATCCAGGGGTGGGCAAACTGCGGCTCTCCAGCTGTTGTGGAACTACATTTCCCATGAGGCATTGCAACATTACAAAACTGAAAGTTACAGCTAGGCATGATGGAACTTGTAGTCCTGCAACAGCTGGAGAGCCACAGTTTGCCCACCCCTACGCTTAATCTATCCAAAACCAAAAACAAAGTTCTCAGTATTTAAACCTTAGCATTCATGAGTATGACTGTACATATTTGCATTTACCTCTTCAATTCCAGAGTGGAAACAGAGTGCTGTGTTCTATAATACTCGATCATCAGCAGGGCCAATCCACAATCAACTATGACGATGAAAATGGGAAGACGTGTATGCACATAGCAGCAGCTGCAGGATACAGTGACATTATCTGTGAACTTGCCCGAATCCCAGAGTGTAACTTACAGGCCCTTGATGTGGATGATAGGTAAGTGTTCAGACACTGTTGTACATCAAGGAAACAGTGATCTACACCGAAGGCTAGGTTCACATTTATGCAAATTTCAGTGCGTTTCCCGATTTGCAGAAATTCACTACAGTTCATTTAACATGATTTCCTATGGATCTAGTTCACATCTGTGTGTTGTGAGCCTGTGTGAATTTTTGAAAAGCTCAGGGACTTTTCCTGCAACAGATTGTGTTTTGCGTGTACTAGACTTCAATGGAAACGCACCAAAAATGCAAGTATTGAGTTTTAATGCGTCTTTTATGCATTTTGTGCTTTGTGTGACTTTAAACAGATTGTTAAGGAGCAGGCGGCTGCCGGCATTCTTAACAACCAGTAAACAACATGAACTGTCAGCGGGGTCCCCCCTCCTCCTGAATAATACCAGTCCACATGCTCTCAGCATAAGCTTTGGTTATGGAGGTCTGTGAGGGGCAACTTATCGGAATCTGTAAGCCCCCTTTAACAAGGGGGTCCCCAGATCCCAGTCTCTCATAGTATCCCATAGTCATTCACCAAAAAAGTGTCAGAGTGAAAACACGACAGTTTCTGCAAGCCCTTTATTAAAAAATAAGAAAAAAAACATTGAATGCTGTCGACCTGAAGAAAAAAAAAGAGCTCCACACCCCATGAAGGCTCCCATCATCTGACAGCTCTTAAATAAGCTAAAGGGTGGCGCCACTTGATGACATCACCAGTTGACCCTGCCCCCTTGTGATGTCATCAACCAGGGCATGCTTAGAAAAGGGTCTGGTATGGATTTTGGGGGGACCCACACCATTTTTGTTTTAAATTTTGGCATAGGGTTCAGCTTAATATCCATACCAGACACAAAGGGCCTGGTATGGATTGGGGGGGACTCCACGCTGTTTTTTCCTGATTTTTTAATTGCCAGCAATTGGTTTGTTTATATTCAGCTGTCAGCGGGGAACCCCAGTGACAGCTGATGACTCATCAGTTGTTAAGGACGCGGTGGCCACCCGCTCCTTAATGACCATGTTGTTTACCGCCATTACTAGTAAAAAAAAAAATTTTTCTAATTCCAGTATATTATACCACTTAGTAAACGCTATAACTTTCAGGTAAACCAATTAATTTACATATATTGAGAATTTGTTTAGTAAAAACATGTAGAAAAATATATTTTGGCCTAAATTTATGATGAAATTTGATTTTTAAAATTTTTTACTGGACATGTTTAATAGCAAAAAGTAAAAAATATAGTTTGTTTGTTTTTTTTTGTTTATAGCGCAAAAAATTTAAAAATGCACAGGCGATCAAATACCACCAAAAGAAAGCTCTATTCGTGGGAAATATTTGTCAGTTAGAGTAACGCAGCGCCATATCGCAAAAAAATGGCCTGGTCAGGAAGGGGGGGTAAATCCTCTGGAGGGCAAGTGGTTACCAACCAGCAAAAGTCACACAAAGCACAAAGTGCAAAATGCATAAGAAATGCAAAAAAAAGCATCAAAAACGAGTGTGAAAAAAATGCAAAATGCACCCGGAAAATCAACCGCAATCTGTATACATGTTAACCTAGCCTTATTATCTACACACTCACTCACTAAATCTGAAGCAAATATATTCTAAGTATATCAAATCTTTAAGTGGAATTTGTATTTTTGAAGTTACAGAAGTAAACTGGACCTGCAGTGAAATAAGGCTCCCACCTTCTCACCCTGCTATCTTAAAGAAAGTCTTTCTAACTTTTATTTTTGTTTCTCCTGTCCCCCCAAAAGTGCCTGTCTTTCTATGTGATCTCCAAGCTGAACTATCATGGTTGTCAGTGTCCCCCCACCACTGTCTTGTCCCAGTCACTAGAAATGCAGTTCCGTTGTTCCACCCCCGCAATCATTTAATTGGTCTATAGCAGTGGTCTCCAAACTGCGTCCCGAGGGCCAGATGTGGCCCGTTGCTTCATTTTATTCAGCCCTTGGGGCATTATTCCCTCACTGCCAGCAACAGTGGGGCATAGTTCCTGCCACTAACACAAACGATGGGGCACTATTCCTCCCACTGAAACCAATGATGGGACACTATTCCTCCCACTGACACCAATGATGGGGCACTATTCCTACCACTGGTACCAATGATGGGGCACTATTCCCCCCACTGATACCAATGATGGGGCACTATTCCTCCCACTGATACCAATGATGGGACACTATTCTTCCCACTGACACCAATGATGGGGCACTATTCCTACCACTGGTACCAATGATGGGGCACTATTCCCCCCACTGATACTAATGATGGGGCACTATTCCTCCCACTGATACCAATGATGGGACACTATTCTTCCCACTGATACCAATGATGGGACACTATTCTTCCCACTGACACCAATGATGGGGCACTATTCCTACCACTGGTACCAATGATGGGGCACTATTCCCCCCCACTGATGCCAATGATGGGGCACTATTACTCCCACTGAAACAAGTCAGACTTTTTCTACTCTCACTAGCCACAGTCCAGCCCCCCTTAAGATTGAAGGACAGTAAACTGGAGTAAGTTTGGAGACCCCTGGTCAATAGCATGCTGGCCACCAGGACTCACAGCACCATTGGCTGCTAATACACAGGTGGTTAGGTCATACAGCATCACTGGGTGCGTAGGATGCAGGCAATCAGGCTGCACAGAATCACTGGTTGTTATGCTGCAGGTGGCCACCAATGATGCCTTGTGGCCTGGTTGCCATCATCCTAAATACCAATGAAAAGACAGATGGGATAGAACAGGGGAACTGGGTAGGATCCTTTTAGTTGACACTCCTCCTCCCCCAGGCACGCTCACTGAACAGCTGGCAGATCAATGTTAGTAAGGCCCACAGATTGAGTTTCTAGTAGGGAAGGAGCAAAGAAGCTGTAAAGCAGAATATATTTTCTTTTCATTTCACTACTGTTTTATTTCAAATTATTTCAACAGCAGAAATACATTGAGGAAGTGGAAGGTACGGGCCACTTAATAGTGATTATAGCAAGAGCTCAACAAAAGCCCATGACCATTACCTCTATATTTAACCCACAGGGAGAGTTGCTTACTGACAAGACACATATTTTTGCCCGCTTCAAAAGCTTCTATCAGGATTTGTATAAATCACAGCTCGAACTCACGAATGACCAGGCAAAACTGTTTCTGAGTTCACTTACATTCCCTAAACTCTCTGGTAAAGATAGATGTACACTAGACTCCCCAATAACGCTGGAAGAGCTTGTTGAGGCCACTGCAGACTCCCCTAATAATAAAGCCCCCAGTCTGGATGATTTACCTTCTGAAATATATAAACAATATTGTCAAGCACTACTGACAAACTATTGGAGACATTGAGGGAGGTCTTTTGAGAAGCAATCATTGTTATGGTCCCTAAGCCGGGCAAAAATGCTCGATACCCTGAATTGTATAGGCCCATTTCGCTTCTCACTGCAGACATAAACATTTTGGCTCAAGTACTAGCTACCAGACTCCCAAAATATATTACAAAATCGGTCCACAGGGACCAAATCTATGTCCATTAATATAGTGGAGTCCCTAGGCAGGTGCGGGGGATGCGCACCGCACTGGGTGACACCTACTGCAGGGGTGACACCAGACCCGCTCCACGAAAAGATAAATTGTAAAGCAAGCCGACGATCCCCGCAGGATGGACCGGACCTGCGGATTGAGCATAATGGATCGGAGTCCGATCCATTATGCTCCCCAATCCGCAGATCCGATCCATCCTGCAGGGATTGTTGGCTTGCTTTACAACTTAACTTTTCGTGGAGTGGGTCTGGTGTCACCCTGTATAGGTTGCATGCCGACAATCCCCGCAGAATGGTTCGGATCTGCAGACTGGGGAGCATAATGGATCGATTCCAATCCATTATGCTCAATCCGCAGATCCAATCCATTCTGCGGGGATCGTCGGAGGGGGTGTCACCAAGTGTTATTGCAGCAGGTGACACCAACCCTAGGGACGTCCCTGCATTAATATCAGATGACTGTGTCTCCTAAGTTATCAGGAGGAATCTGCAGGTTAAGACAAAGCGGTGTTGTCTTTAGATGCCACCAAAGCCTTCAACAGCATGGAGTGGACATACCTCTGGGAGGCCCTGCAGGCCTTTGGTATAGGTTAACCTTTATTAACTGGGTTTGGTTACTATATTCTTCCTCAAGAGCACAAATATGGATCAATGGGGTACTGTCTGAATCATTTAATCTGTATCGAGGCACACAAAAGGGATGTCCACTATTCCCGCTGTTGTTTAGACTAGCTGTGGAGCCCATGGCGTTGGCTGTCAGACAAGCTACTAATATCACTGGATTTAAGAGGGGTACTGGAGGAGATAAAATAAACTTATATGCGGACAACACTCTGCTTTACTTTGGTGACACCCAACAGTCTCTAATTTCACTGATGGATCTGAAAACCTTTTTGCAGCTAGATTTAGAATAAATTGGGACAAGTCCGTTCTGTTGCACCTGGACCTGCTAACCTACCCCTGCTGCCATCTCAGATCAAAATAGTTGACTCTTTTAAATACCTGGGAGTAGTTGTTCACCCATTGATAACTAAGTATTTAGAATTAAATCTGTCCCTGCTATTGATTCCATTTAAGTGTTGGTGCAAACTCCCCCTCACAGTAGTTGGCTGCTCCAACCTCATTAAAATGATATGGGTGCCCAAGTTACTGTATATCCTCCACAACTCCCAGTTCGGCTACCGCAACACTGGTATAAGCAAATAGATTCCCTATTCCAGGAGCTAAGCTTCCACATAATAAAAATTATCGACCCTACAACTAACTAAAGACACTGGTGGCCTAGCCATACCTCTCCCCAAGATGTACTTCCTTGCTGCTCAGCTTCAGCATTTCTTGAACTGTGGGAGGGTGGGGGGGACCTTGAGGATCCTACCCAGGCAATTTTGCTCTTCCATAATTCAGCGTACCCATTACTGTCCATTACTCGAGGTTGATACCTTTGCTGCATTTCAGCAATATCCCACGCTGCTTCTCCTTCACCGGCTCTGGCTGCAGGTGAAGAAACTGATGAAATGGGAGGGCTATAATTGTCATACTCCTCTATGGAAGTACTCCTTTCTACCAGAACGTAATAAATTGCAAGGCTTTGGGCTGAGGGATGTGAGATATTTGTTCCATCTGCTCAAGGGGGCGTATTAAAAAGTTTTCAGTCACTTCAAGTGGATTATCATCACCAGACTCAAATGTGAGACAGGCTCTTAATGCTCAATCCCGTACATCTAAACGGGCTTGAGCATTAATAAAGAGAATACAGAAATCAAATACTTGGAATCTCGACTAAGGCTGATTCCAGAAAAGGCCTTATTTCCTGACTATATGGGATTTTAATGGCTGAGATACAAAACCATACTCTTAATTCCTTCTAGAAAAGGCTGGGAGGAAGACTTGGGCCCCTTAACAGGAGAAAAATGGGAGCAAGCGCTGACTTCTCTTCCCCTGGTGTCCTTGTCACCAACTCAGAAGTTCATCCAACTTTTTATCCTTCATAGAGCCTACCATACCCCTGATAAACTGTATAGGTGGAAATGTAGAGATACAGATATATGTCCCAGATGTGCCAGAGGTCTGGCAGATCTTATTCACATGATATGGCACTGCCCAAAACTCCACATGTATTGGCAAGAGGTTGTGTCTCTAACATCCTCCATATATCAGACTACTCTACTGCTAGAACCTAAATTGTGTCTTCTTAATATTTTTGATGACTCCTTAGTACCTGACAAGGCAGTAGACTCTATACTTAGATTGCTTTATATAACATGGAAAATGATTGCCCAAAAATGGATGTCCTCTAACCCTCCCACCATTGTGGAGTGACCAAGTTAATACTCCCAAGAAAAGCCTATTTATCAGCACAGGAATTGCACCTGTAAATTTGATAGATTATGGACCCCTTGGTTGGCAGTGCCTAGTCTAACCCCATTTCTCCTGATCTCAGACAGGCTATTGTCCCTCTGAGTATAGAATTACTAGGTGTACTTAAAGTACTTATCTTACTCTCTAAGAGTGGTTCTATTGCAATATTAGATATATGTAACCAAAGTATTTTGGTCTATCTGTGCGAGTTGTTAGGTTTAGGTTGTTAGGTAGATATGGGTTTATACTCATACAATAAACCTTCTTTATTTGGAAAATATACGTGAATTGATAGATGTAATTTTACGCTGTTGTGGCATTCTCTATATTACTCCCAAACTAGCCAATGTCTGCTGTTTATATGCTTACAGAAACTACTACTACTGACTACTACTGTTTGGAATTACATGACTTGTCACTGTACAGTTGAATACCTTTTTTAGTTGGTTCTGTTTTTAGTTGGTTGAGAGTGCCACTCAAGTGGCGGTGTCTTTACAATTAAAAAATCAATAAAAAAGATCTGGTTTTAAAAAAAAGTCATAAAAGGTAGCAAAAGGCATTCAGGAAACACTGTTTAGGGATGGCATAGTAGATGGTAATGTGACTATAAGAGGTAGAGGACTCTCTGGTCTTTCCCATTAAGAGAACTGAACTATTGTAGTTTTTGCCCAAGGAACAGGAGTTGTTTGCAGCTCTTCATGGACCACTGATATTTGCTATATCTGCTTACCCCTATTGCTGTCTTTCATATTAGAGATGAAGACATAATTTCTTCAGAGCTGGACAAATACCAGGAGCTCTGGAAGCAACGTGTTATAAAAAAAATACAACTTTTTTTGAACCTTTTCCACTGTAAGCAAATAAAATCACATGATCCATGGCACCTTTAAGAGACCTTGTCGCCAAGATATGAAATTGCAGGTAAAATCACAAAACAAAATCAAGCATTTTTTCACAAATTATTTTTTATTATTCACTTGCAATGGGCCATTGAACTTGCTAGAAAGTTTGCCCACTCCAAGAGAGTCCACTTCTTGGCACATACTCCTCCCTTCTTGTACAGGGCAGCACAGTGGCCTAGTGGTTAGCACTTGTGCCTGTAGCTCAACCAGGGCACTGTTTGCATATTTTCCCTGTGTATGCGTGGGTGTCCTCCTACATTTCATAGCCAAGTTTGCAGATTAATTAGCTTCTGTTAAATTGGTCCTAGTTTCTGTGTTCAAATTGGCTATGCACATGTGTTATCACATTCTGTATGCCAATTCCTAGTCTAAGCTATTGAAAACAGACCTGGTGACCTCGTTAAAAAAAAATTGCAAAGAAAATTCTATGGAAAAGGCTATGAAGCATAATAGATGTGGGGACCAGAGAGCTGGCTCATAGAATTACCTAGAGTCAAATACAGCTGAACAGCTGTATACAAGATCACATAAGCCATTTAATTAACCTATAGATATGGATACAATTTTTGACATCTCCCCATCTCTGCTCCAGAACCCCTCTACACTGGGCTGCAGCAGCAGGAAAAGCAGACTGTGTACAGACTCTGTTGAAATTGGGAGTGGATATTAACCCCAGAGACATCAATGAAAACACCCCTCTGACCTATGCCATGTACTGTGGGCACACTGCATGCATCAAACTGCTTTCTCAGGAGAACAGGTAAGCTTGCAAATTTGGGAAGGTATCTTCTATTCTGTGTATAATCCCTAATAAGGCTGGACTACACAGAGCACTTGGCGCTTCTCTTTTCAAATTTCATCTTTATTGTAATCCTGAGCAGGGAGGGAGCCAATAAAGTAAAGTAAAGCTGAAGCCTCAAGGTCTACCAGACAATGCAGACACCATTCATTTCAGCAGGTTGCAGCACTCAGAAAAATACAACTTTGTTACCCAAACCCTAACTGAATAACATTTGGTTTGCTACAACACCATGTATTACAAATCAGGTGGCTTTAAAACATATTTTCACCATTTTTAATTTTTTTTTTTTCATTTGCACTCACTCCTCTGCCGGCTACAAAACTATTGCTCAGGACCACTACCAGTTCCTGATAGTGATAATGGATGACCAGTCTGAGCAATGTGTGTTAGCATAGCCATTTGTAGCCCCAAACAAAGCATACTTGCAAAGGATAAAAAAACAAACAAATAAAATTTGCTATTCCATACTCCCTAAAAATGTTTTGGTCCCGCTTTGGACCAGGACAATTGTTACAACTGCGTTGTGTCTGTGTGTCTGTGTGTCTCTGTGTGTGTTTGTGTGAAAATAATTTGTTTGAGATTAGAGGTGGAGGGATTAGCTACTATTTGCACTGGGGAGGGATATTTGCTAGGATGAGGGATTGGGGGGGGGGGGGGGTGATATGTGCAAAGAGGAGGGATTGGAGGGGGTGATATGTGTAAGGAGGGGAGATTGGGGGGACATGTGCCAGGAGGAAGGATGGGGGGATATGTGCAAGGAGGAGGGATTAGGGGGGAAACGTGCAACGAGGAAGGATTGGGGGGGACATGTTCAAGGAGGAAGGATTGGGGGGATATGTGCAAGGAGGAGGGATTAGGGGAGATATGTGCAAGGAGGAAGGATTGGGGGGATACATGCAAGGAGGAGGAATTAGGGAGGATATGTGCAAGGAAGGGGGATACAGTATGTGCAAGGAGGAGGGATTAGGGGGGATATGTGCAAGGAGGAGGGATTAGGTGGGAAACGTGCAACGAGGAAGGATTGGGGGGGACATGTTCAAGGAGGAAGGATTGGGGGGATATGTGCAAGGAGGAGGGATTAGGGGAGATATGTGCAAGGAGGAAGGATTGGGGGGATACATGCAAGGAGGAGGAATTAGGGAGGATATGTGCAAGGAAGGGGGATACAGTATGTGCAAGGAGGAGGGATTAGGGGAAATATGTGCAAGGAGTGGGGGTTGGGGAGGGATTTGTACAAGGAGGAGGGATTAGGGGAAATATGTGCAAGGAGTGTGGTTGGGGAGGGATTTGTACAAGGAGGAGGATTAGGGGGGATATGTACAAGGCCAGCTACTTACTGTGCAGATGGATGCTGTGTCTGTAAGAGAATCTGATCTCGGCTATGTGCTGTGTGGGGTGGAGGAGATCTGAGTACCCGGGCTGTCTGCAGTGTGGAGAGGGAAGGAGGAGACCTGCTGAGTGCTCTACCAGCAGTGACCCTGTCCTCTTCTGTGCTGAACAATGTCTTATGCCCTACTGACTCCTGTCTTCTGCACTGCTGAACTGACCACCCATTTTCTCCACCCTGCTGACCCTATCCTCTGCTCTGCTTGCCCCCTGTACACTGCCCTACTGACCTCTCACATCCACTGCCCCCCCCCCAAGATTTTTTACGGCATCCCTACATCAGTCTAGATCTGACCCTGCCTCATATCATTGGGAGGAAAAGTGCCCAAAGGGCCAGATAAAGGCTAGCAAAAGGGCGCATCCAGCCCTCGAGCCACAGTTTGGAGACCACTGCTGTAAATAAAAGTATACATTGTAAATTAAAAATCATCCTGTTTAAAGTGATACTAATATTATAATTTTGGGACAAGGCATTTCAAAGTTATTTACAAATGAAATATAAACTTTATTTTTTTTTTTTTAATTTCCTGCTATTTTAATGCCATTTGGCCCCGCCCATCTCTCTCCTCATAGGCTGACTGGCTGTGATTGACAGCAGCGGGAGACAATGGCCCCCCTTTCCTTTCTGATCACAACCGCATCACATTCACAGTGTCCTTGTCTTCAATGACCTATCCCTCCAAGCAGCAAACAATTACCTGCAGAAACCTTCACCACTTTAATCCTTCTTTTTCTACTTTGCAACTGACTACCTCTATGACAGAATCTCTCCTCTGTCCTGCCCTGATCTAACCACTTCTGTCTACAACAGTTCATTTTCATCCACACTGGATTCACTTGCTTCTCTATCTACACAAAGTATCAGGCCCCAATCATTACAACCTTGACAGATTGACGACACAAGAAGTCTTAAGAGATATAGCCATTGCACTGGAGCGATTGTGGCATAAAACCAAATCCCAGCAAGCATTCACCCTATATGAATCTGCCTTCTTAAAATATAATTCCTCCCTCCATGATGCCAAACAAACCTACTTTGTCACTCTTATTAATACATTGTCATCCAGTCCACAAAGTTTCTTCTCTACTTTTAACTCTCTACTTTCTCCACCACCACCACCCAGTAACTCACTTACTGCTCACAAGATTGCCAATCATTTCAAAAACACAATTGATACAATTCGTGGGAGCATCTCCACTGCACAGATATCTATCCCATTTAGCATAGACTATACGAAACCACCCTCAACACTTTCCTCTTTTGACCTTGCTACTACCAAAGAGGTCACTAAAGTTTTTTCAGAAGCCCTTCTTACCACCTGTCCATGGATCCTGATCCTGTCACCCTCTTCTTCTATTCTATGCTCCCTCACTCACATCTTCAATCTCTCACCTCTCTACTGGCAGCTTCCCATCTACTCTAAAACATGCGCTGATCACCCCTATACTTAAAAAGCCCTCACTGGACCCCACCAACCTGAACAACAAGACCCATTTCCCTGCTCCCTTTCACTTCTAAACTTTTAGAACGCTTAGTCTACAATCGCCTGAGCTCCTACCTCACTGACAACAACCTTCTTGACCCCTTACAGTCTGGCTTTCACTTACTACACTCCTCTGAAACTGCTCTACTAAAACTCCCTAATGATTTACTAACTGCTAAAACCAATGGCCACTACTCCATACTCCTACTACTAGACCTCTCTGCAGCTTTTGATACTGTTGACCATCCTCTCCTCCTCCAAAAAACTCCACTCTCTTGGCCTTCAAGACTCTGCTCTCTCCTGGTTCTCCTACATCTCACAGTGCTTCTTCAGTGTTACCTATAACTCGGTCTCCTTTCCACTTCCTCTTGCTGTAAGGGTCCCCCAAGGTTCTCTCCTTGGACCCCTTCTCTTCTCCATATAAACCTCCTCTCTTGATCACTTGACAAACTCCCATGGCTTCAAGTATCATCTCTATGCTGATGACATATAAATCTATTTCTCTACTCCTCACCTCACCCCTTCAGTCTCCTCTCACATTACTAACTTACTAACTGGCATTTCAGCATGGATGTCACCCCACTTCCTCAAACTCAATCTTTTTAAAACTGAGCTCATAATATTCCCTCCAGCCCATGCCCCCTCTCCTGACTTCTCCATTAGGATCAATAATACAACCACCAGTCCCTCCCCTCATACCAGGGTAATAGGTGTAATCCTGGACTCCGATCTGTCCTTTTTGCCCCAAATCCAATCACTGTCAAAATCCTGTAGACTTAACCTCTTTAACATCTCCAAAATATACCTCTTTTTAACCATTGAAACCGCTAAGCAACTTATTCACTCCTTTGGTATCTCTTGCCTTTGCAACTCCCTCCTCATTGGCCTACCTAATTGCAGGCTATCCCCCTTCAGTCTATCATGAATTCTGCAGTCTATCATGAATATCATGAAGCATCCACCTTACCAACTGTTCCATGTCTGCCATCCCTCTCTGCCAATCCCTCCACTGGCTTCCCTTTGCCCAACAAATAAGATTCCAAACATTAACAATAACATATAAACCCATTTATAACTCTGCCCCAAATTACTTCACCAATATTGTCTCCAAATATCACCCAAATTGTCCTCTCCACTCCTCCCAAGAGCTCCTGCTCTCTAGCTCCCTTGTCTCCTCCTCTCATGCCCATCTCCAGGACTTGTACCCCAATCTGTCTGACTATCGCCTACTCTGTCCACTTTTGGGCAATCTCTGAAAACCTATCCCTTCAGGGAAGCCTATCCTGCCTTCAGCTAATAACTGAATATTCCATTTTTCCCGTCACTTCATCCCCCACAGTTATTACCTTTTGTTCCACCAGCCCCTCCCTCTTAGATTGTAAGCTCCCAGTAGCAGGGCCCTCCTAACGTTCTTGTATTGAACTGCATCATTGCTGTATTGTCTCCCTTTATATTGTAAAGCGTTGAGCAAACTGTTGGTGCTATATAAATCCTGTATAATAATAATAACAACATACTGTATTAATAGAAAGATGGAAATTAAAACGATCAGCAGAAATTTAATAGCTAAAGGGAGGAGGGGAGGAAGGAATTAAGGGCTGATTAAGTAAAGGTTAATAAGGAATAAAATAGGAACAGTTTTTAATAAACTTTTTTTTATTTGTCGGATTGCTTTAAACTTACATCATATGCAGATCATTTGGACAGCAGCAACAGTAATACTGCTAGCAACTGCTGTCAAATGTGGCAAGGGGAACCACAAAGGTGGAGGATAGGGCGTGACACACATGCCCTGTGTACTTTGATGAGTTTTTTTGTGCATGTGTAGCATTAGCAATATCCACAACTGGATAGAGTCTATCTACGAAGAAACACTTGTGCCAAAAATGTTGTTGCACCTGTTCACTATAAAGCCAAAGCGTTTTATGTATGCTTCATGCTTTAAAGCTGAAGTATTTGCTTCTTATTTTTCCTTCCCTGGTTTCTTTTTTCCCCCTTTATCAACATACTGTACAATGTAAGCCGATCATGGCTGTTGGGAGGGGTCGGCAGCAGGGGCGGACTGACCATTTGGAGACTCGGGCACTGCCCGAGGGCCCGGGGTCAGTAGGGGGCCCCATGAGATGCCCCTGGTACCTTTTGCATAGGCTTTTGTGAGTTTGGGCAAGGCCACAGGGGCCCCATGATCCCCTATTGCCCCGGGGGCCCGATGAGTTGTCAGTCCGCCCCTGGTCAGCAGGGTGCTATACAAAGCTTAATACAAAACATCTCAGTTGTACTATAGCTTTGACCAATGAAAAGTAGTCTATGAATAGAGGATGGTGGATGAATGAAAGATCCGCCTCCTCCATTCACAAAACACTGTTCATTGATGGAAGCTATAGTACAGGTTCTATGAATGGTGGAGGGGGCGGAAGGGTGAGCATAGTTGGTACTCTTGAGGAGTGCCTTTGACTGTCCAGCTCTTGTATTAAACCCCACAGCACTGGAAAATTACAGCTATGGGGGCTTACGGGGGTAAATGACTTTGGGTTTCAACTAGGACAGCCAGCAGAAGCTACACTTATCATTAACATATTCTCCCTTGTGCTTATTTTTTTTATTTTTCTACTTAAACTTAGGCTTTAAAATTGTTAGTGATTACAGGTGAATATTCATAACACTGATGTTTATTATTCCTTGGCAGTAGACCAGACCCGTTCCAGCCATTCAGCTCCCCAGGCTGTAAAGCCATGAGGAAAGAAGGGCGTCTCACTGTGCTGAATCAGATATTCTCATGCAAGAAGAAGAAGGTGGAGCAGAAAGCACACCAGAAGGACAAACTCAGGTATAACAGAGAAGAAACCTCAGAGGTTGATGACATCATCACCACATTTGACTGTATATTGGACACAAACTGCAAAGACCCTTCCGATGAGAGGGTGACCTCAGTCAACTGCAAAAAAAGGACAGTGGAGTCACAGAAGTACCTGTTACCGGAAAGCAAGCAAAATAGCAAAGGTCTTCCACCCATAAGAACACAGAGTCTCCCCCCCATAACTCTTGGAAACACTTTTTTGACCACATCACAGACTACACCAGATGTCCCACAAAGCAATGCTTTTCATTTTGCACACCGTTCTCAGAAAAGCAAGAGTGAGCATGACTTGTTTGACCACAGAATTAGTTCCCAGAATTTGCAAGACAATCCATGGAATATAGCTGCTAACCAAATCCTGCCCCATAAATCCTGGACTTCACCAGATCCTGACAAGTTCAAGCATCATGCTTTGCTTAAAAAGCCAAACCATATAGACAGGCTATGTCCACCTCATCTTCCTCACATGGAAAATATGCATCCAGGTAAGGTACACCCTGGGGGTAAAATATAAAACCGAAGGCACCCTCAATTATTACTTGTTTTGAAACAAATGGCAATGGCAATCTGCTAGGTCAGCTTATGGTTTGTGGACACAAGGACTGTTACATATGTTACCGTGTACACTGTGAGAAGGCTTAAGCTTTAAGTCCCCCCCCCCCCCACACACACACCCAACTGCACAATTCACCACAACACTCAGAGCGTGACTCCTATTACTCCTCTGGGTACTCAAGGCTAAACCCCCCGCCCCCACTCCAAAAAAAAAAAGAGTGAAAGTAGAAAAATCAGAAATGAATGAGTCACCTCACTGATCCCATAAGCCAAGAAATGTTATTGGAGGATTATTCCACTTACTGGTTCCACAACGTCTTCAGAAAAAGCCTCAGAAAATCCAGTTGTACCTAATAATCTAATGGTCATAGACAACATAAATTATATTTATAGGCAGCATGGCAGCTCCATGGCCAGCACTGGTATGTTAGGGTCCATTCACAATAGGAACTGCAGGGTGAATCGCACAGGAATGTGCTGTATGCAGTTCTGTGCAGTGCAGTTGCAGCTCATTCGTTCTGAATGGGCTACAATCACATAGTAATACACCAAAAGTAGTGCATGCACCACTTTCAGAAATGCATTGTATATGGATCTCAAGGTAAGTTTGCGACCTGCGTTTGGGGTGTTAACTTTGCACTGACACCTGTTGCAGATTGCAAGGGCAGTGTGATTTGAATGCAGTGCAGGAAACCGGCAGGGAATGCAGTTTTCCCACACTTCATTCTAACATGAACGGGCGTTATTAGTTCTGAGCAGGGGTGGACTGACCATTTGAAAACACGGGCACTGCCCGAGGGCCCGGGGTCAGTAGGGGGCCCCATGAGATGCCCCTGGTACCTTTTTCATAGGCTTTTTTGAGTTTGGGCAAGGACACAGGGGCCCCATGATCCCCTATTGCCCGGGGGCCCCATGAGTTGTCAGTCCGCCCCTTGTTCTGAGTCTGCATCTGATTCTAATGGGAACTCTGTCTTAATGAAATCTGCATATTCTCTGTATATTTGAAATGGTTCCTCCCAAAAGTAAAAATAACATGGTGGCATTTTGGCTGCAGTCCTAAGCTGGCAATTTGGCACCAGCCACTATGCTGAGTGTTGATGCTCCTGTAAAGTAACAATGATCATTTGTGAATATACACAGAATACATTAACAAAGTGTCTGCAAAGAAAATAGTCTGGATGCTCATCGCAAAAAAATGTATTCCCCAGTTCATTCTCACATACTGTATTTTATGGGTGAGCAACATTCAATGCTTTTTCCCCAAAATAAATAGGTTTCTGCATATTCTTATCATAGGCAAATAGCTCTGGAGTCAAAGGAGAAAGCAAAATGTAAGTGTTAGTTCACCTTTACAGAAAAATTAAAAAGTGAACAAACACCGTACAGCCCCCCCCCCCCCCCCCTCTTAGGTGCCCATGTACCTACCTCAGGAAATGCTGACCTGTCAGTGCCCATGCAGCTGGCCCAGCAGTCCAGGAATTTCAAATCCCCACTGGACTCCCTCTTATCTGTACAGCGCTTCCAGGATGGACCAGAGTGATTTTATTGGTCAGTGCCTGCATAGTGAGTTGTTCTGGTCCATTCCAGAATCACTGCACAGAGAAGAGGGAAAAGAGTGGAGATTTCAAATCCCCAGACCGCTGGACTGGCTGTGTAGGCACTGACAGCTCAGCATCCCCGGAGGTAGGTACAGCGGGGACCAAGGGGATGGGGGGGCTGTATGGTGCTGTAAAGGTGAACAAACACTTTAAGGATTTTCGTATGGGTACAAAGAGCTTTATAACAGAGTGAGAAGCTAGTTTGTCTACATGTACAGGACTTCAATAGGCCTGCATGAAAAGAAATGTAATACCCTTGATGCACAAAAAAACCCTGTAAACTAATAACAAATAGCTGCTGTAGCAAAACATTGCTATGCACATTTGACATACTGAAGATGATGTGATAAGTGAAGTATTATTGCCCCGTTCACACAGAACAAATGTAATACCCATTAACCGGCAAATTGCTATGCGAACCTTTAATAAATTAACCCCAGAGTGTTTTACAAATAGATGAAAAACCTTAACTCAGTAAAAATAAGTATAAATAGATTGTGTTTATTAAAAGTCAGCAGCTACAAAAACTGTAGCTGCTGACTTTTAATAAACACACACTCACCCGTCTTGGAGTCCAGCAATATTCTCACCCGTGCTGTCCCTTCTCTCCTTCTTTCCTCCACAGCGCCAGCATGTCAACTTTGGGCACCAGGCTGCGACAGCTTGCGGCTTCACAGCCGGGTGCCCACTGCGCATGCGTGAGTCACGCTGAGTATTCTGACTGTTCCGGCAGTCTTTTGGGACCTGTGAAAGTTCCCAGGAGACTGCAGGAGGAAGGAAGGGGTCACACTTCCATGGCGAACTGAGCCGCAAGTGGGTAGCTGTCAAAACCAGGTACCCGCTCCCCCAGAAAAGGTGCCAAATATGGCAGTGGAGGGGGGAGGAGGCAAACAAACAGAGCTTCCACTTTTGGGTGGAACTCCGCTTTAAGCATTTCAAGCCATTTGTTAATGAGAATAATAAACTAAATTTCTTTAATACATTTGCCTCCTTGTTACTTTTTCATATCGGGTCCATAGATCTTTAGATTCAAACAGGACAATGAGAAAATTCTACTTTTATTTTCACAAACTTTAAATTGGTAATTTTGCATCTAAATAACAAAAAAATAATTTCAGGGACTTTTGTTATAGGCAAAGATCAACAAAATATGCCAGGCAGTGAAAATGAATTATAAACAGTTAGTAAAATGTTTAGGTCTTTTTGGGTTAGAAAAACAGACATTTTGGGGTTTATTTACTATAGCTAGAGCGTGCAAAATCAGGTGCACTTCTACACAGAAACCAATCAGCTTCCAGGTTTTATTGCCAAACCTTAACTGAACAAGCTGAGATTAGAAGCTGATTGGCTGCCATGCACAGCTGCACCAGATTCTGAGTTTTAGTAATGCAGGCCATAGATGGGGAGAAAAACTGCAGATTTTTCTTTTAAAAAATGAAAAATTGGTTGTTCAAGTGGCCGATACCATCAATGGTAAAAAAAAAAAATCGGCCGATTTTCTACCCGTCTAGAGCCGGCAAAAAGTGTCCCTGCAGAGAGCTCTGCTATTTCTTTGACAGTTCTCTGACAGTTCCTTGACATTTATAGAAGTTGCAACATTGTATCTATTTGTTTCCATTTAGGATACAGATTTTTTATTCGGAAACAAATAGATACAATGTTTCAACCGCTGTAAATGTCAAGGAACTGTCAGAGAACTGTCAGAAATAGCGGAGCTCTCTGCAGAGACACTTTTTGCTGGACTGGAATTCTTCTTATTTTCATCCTACTTCTTCTTCTTCTTATTCTTCTTCTTCTTCTTCATCCTCATCCTCTTCTTCATCCTCATCCTCTTCTTCTTCATCCTCTTCTTCATCCCCATCCTCTTCTTCTTCATACTCATCTTCTTCTTCTTCTTCTTCTTCTTCTTCATCCTCCTCCTCCTCCTCCTCCTCCTTCTTCTTCCTCAGCCTCTTCTTCATCACTCATCCTCTTCTTCTTCTTCTTCTTCTTCATCCTCATCTTCTTCTTCATCCTCATCTTCTTTTTCTTCATCCTCATCCTCATCTTCTTCATCATCATCCTCCTCCTCTTCTTCTTCATCCTCATCCTCTTCATCATCCTCATCCTCTTCTTCTTTTCTTCTTTCTTCATCATCTTTTCTTCTTCTTCTTCTTCTTCTTCATCCTCTTCTTCATCCTCATCTTCTTCTTCTTCATCCTCATCTTCTTCTTCTTCATCCTCATCCTCTTCTTCTTCATCCTCATCCTCTTCTTCTTCTTCATCCTCATCTTCTTCTTTTTCTTCATCCTTATCCTCTTCTTCTTCTTCTTCTTCATCCTCATCCTCTTCTTCTTCATCATCATCCTCCTCCTCCTTCTTCTTCTTCTTCTTCTTCTTCATCCTCATCCTCTTATTCTTCCTCATCCTCATCTTTCATCATCCTCATCCTCTTCTTCTTTCCCTTCTTCTTCATCCTCATCTTCTTCTCATCCTCTTCTTCATCCTCATCCTCTTCTTCATCCTCATCCTCTTCATCCTCTTCCTCTTTTTCTTCTTTTGTCTTCCTCTTGCAGGTCACTGCTCATGCGCAGATTTTTTATCGGTAAAAAAAAATCGGCCGATTTGCCCACTAATTGCCGCGAAAATCGGCCGATCGGAAATCGGCCGATTTTTTTCCAACTTTACCGAAAAACAAAAACGGCCAAAATACCGAAAAACGGCCGACCAAATCGCCCACTAACGATCCTGCAGATTTTATTTTCGGCCGACAAATCGGCCGATTTTCGACCCATCTATGGCCTGCATAACTCTACTCTTTTGTATTAAATGTGAATTTCAAATCAACAACTACAATCTGCCAGCGATTTTCTCTACCAAAGCATGCCAGTAGAGTGCAGCATTGTTCTGACTTGTGTCTGCAGTATGAGACAAAACATTCCCAAATAGTCCAAGGGGTCTGTTTAACAGCATGGGGAAAGTTTGTAACTTGTGTTTAGAGTTCAGCTAAGTTTAAATAAATTATGATGTTTGCATTGGACAAATTTCAGAAAACGTGTAAAAACTGGCCTAGTTTGTAATAGCTAATAGGTAGGAAGCAAGGCTAGTGGTCTTAAGTGCAAAACGCAGGCACAGTAGTCCACAAAGCAGACATGGGTATGACCTGACCTTTCTCTACTGCAGTTAAAGTCTATGTAAACCCAACATTTTATATTTCTGATATATACCTGCTGTACCATGTATTTGTATAAAAAAAAGTATCCTGTTCGCTTTGTATTGCTTCCTTTATGTGAAATCCCTATTGTTCAATGCCAGTCCATCTGTTTTCCAATTAAAAACTGGCCACACTAAGCACACTAAGAACACACAGTGGTCAGTTCTCTAGCTGTGCTGGGAACTGAGCCTACTGTCCTCCAATAATGAGATGCCCCTCCCCCGTCTGCACAGTTATTCACTGGACCAGTGTGCTACTGTTTCTCTCCCTCCCTCACCTTTCTATGCAGCTGAGAACAGAGGGTATGTGATCACTTAAGGTGGAAAAAGGTATGTATAATGTTTTTTTATATCTATACACAGATATTTTACCTTTTTATTTCTATTTTAGTGCTGGTTCACACTGATGTGGTGAGGTATTTGCAGCGAATTCTGTGTGTTTCCTGCACTGCATCAGAATTGCACTCCGTTCATGCGAACCTCTGCAGATGTCTATATTAAGTTAATGACACCCCAAGAAGGTTGGCAGAATGCAGTGCGATTGGATGAATTGGATCACATGGGTGTGAACACCCATGCAATCCGATTCCAGTGCGAAAAGAAAAAAAAGGTGCGCACACCTTTCCTGCTGGTGCGGTGTGATTTGAGCCATACAAAATGAATGGCTCAAATCACACTGCAAAGAATCGCATGTGATTTGAACAGAAATGCGATGTTATTCCTGTCCAAATCACATACGGTTTCCCTCATCATAATAGTGTGAGGCGGCACTTAAACTGAATGGGTTGTTTTAAAAATTGAGGGTTTACAACCACTTTAAAGCGTAACATTTTGGTAATTTTTCTGAAATCAGTACAAGGGACAGTACTTACATGTAATGAGAAGTGTCCCTGGTGCTGGTGTCAGCTGTCCTAGTTAAATCCGAAGTCCACTGCCCCTCCATACCCCAATAGCTGTAATCTTCTGGTGCTGCAGGGGCTAACACAAATGCTTGGATTGTCATAGGTACTCATCAAAAGTGACAACTATGCCCACCCTTTATACCCTCTCCTCCATTCATACATGTTGTACTATAACTTCCAGGAATGAAAAGCACCCCATGAATGGAGAACAGATGGATAAATGAAAGGTCATCCTCCTCATTTCATAGAGCCTCAGCAGTGCAGACTTATTTATTTATTACAGGCAATTTATGTTGCAAGACTATGGGATTGATTTACTAAAGGCAAATGGACTGCGCACTTTGCAAAGGCATTCTGCAAGTGCAATTGCTCCAGAGCTTAGTAAATGAGCAAAAGCTCTGTTGACTTCTATCATCCAATCATGTGCAAGCAAAAATTCTGTTTTTTTATTTTCCTTGCACTTGATCTGGTATTCTTTGCAAAGTGAAGCTTCACTTCATTCACTAAACTCTGGAGCAGTCTATTTACCTTTAGTAAATCAACCCCTATGCTGGCAAGAATAAAGTTACATAGGATAGTTACATAGTCTGGCTGAGAAAAGACCAAAGTCCATCCAGTTCAACCATAGAACAAAAAAAAAAAAGTTATAATCCTATACCCACAGTATAAAGTAGATGGGTGTAGACTGTATTTGGCATTATGGCAAGATGCACTTTATATATATATATATATATATATATATATATATATATAATGTGTATATATATATATTACAATAAATATTCTATAACTGAATGGATTTTACATTTGCCTATGCTTGTGTAAAGTGTTATTCTGTAAATGTTTAAGTAAAATATATATATAAATATTTTCAGGTCACAACTCACCTCACCTCCCTCAAGATAAGCCAAGAATGAAAGAATTTCGACTTGCGCGAAACAGCTTGGCTCCTCTACCGGATCACTGTGTGAAGAAAAGTAGGTATATATGTTATACTATTCACATACATCTGACAAAGCAGATCTCATGCAGGAGGGACAATTTTATTTCTTGTAATATCTTCAGGAGAAATAAAAATTGATTGGATATATTGCATTAATTCTCCAGAAAAGGTTTGGGGGTCTCATATGAAGATGACCAGTAAACATTACAATGTGACAGTAACAGGTGCACAGTAATGGATTTGAGTCAGTTCTATTTTCATCTTTAATTATTTTTTAAGTTTTATAGGTTTTCAGATTTATAGAAAATCTGTATTTTACAAATAAACATTTAATATAGGATGTCCTCATGACACTAATATGACAGAGCATTATGGGGTTTAAAACAAGAGAGGTTCATCAGTAGCTGTTTATGTTCAGACAATCTCTGAAAGAAGAGGTTGGGTAGGAAATCTGATCTTCAACTATTCAGCCTAGTTGCAACAGACATATTTTTCAGAAGCACAGTTAGGATTGGCCTGATAAATATGCGAAAAGGAGCCCAAAGCTCCACTTACTGGCTGGAATGCATAAAATGGGCAATATTATATGCAATATGTCATATCCTACTCTCTAGCTCCCTGGTCTCCTCCTCCCACGCCCGATTGCAGGACTTCTCCAGGACTTCCCCCATCCTCTGGAACTCCCTACCCCAATCCATCAGACTGTCACCTACCCTCCTCACCTTCAGGCGCACCCTGAAAACCCTCCTCTTCAGGGAAGCCTACCCCAACCTCACCTAACACCCGACCTCACCTAACAACTAACCTCCTCCACTCCTCCCACCACTCCATCCCCCATAGCCATCTCCTCCTGTACCACCTTCCCCTCCCTCCTAGATTGTAAGCTCGAAAGAGCAGGGCCCTCGAACCCCTCGTGTATTGTATTGTTACTGTCTTGTCTCATGTTCTGTCCCCCTGCTACTGTACAGCGCTGAGCATACCCTTTGGCGCTATATAAATACTGTATAATAATAATAATAATAATATACTGTATTCCTAAAATGAATGAAAATGTTATACATTTTTTGTTTTTTTTCAGTGTGCACAAATAAAATAATATGTATAAAAAAACATTTCAAATGTAAGTGCTGCACTTACATTTGAATTGATTACTGTGGGTTTGTTACCTTGCCTTTTGTGCTAGCAGCTACCATATTATCTGCGCTCGCCTTATATCTTGTGGTATAAAAAAAAAAATTATATATATGTTTTGTTAAAATTAATTTGTCCATAAGACCTCTTTCACATGGGCGGAACGCCCATGTGAAAGAGGTCTTATGGACAAATTAATTTTAACAAAACATATAATTTTTTGTTATGTCCGTTTTCCATCTGTCCATTTACGGATGAAAAACGGGCACCCATTTATTTCTACGGACTAGCGAATGTAAACGGGTGATCATCCGTTTACATCCGTTATTGTCCGTATCTCTTAACATCCGTTTTTTTGGGTTTTTTTGGAAGAAAACCCTATTTTTCTTCCATTAAAAAAAAATGGAACGGACGAAAACTGGATGTAAACGGACAAAAAACTGATATAAACAGATGAAAACTGACGAAATCGGATGTTAACGGATGAAAAAATGGATGTAAACTGAACCGTTTTTTCTTTGAAACAAACGTGACTGAACTGATGAAAAAAAAAATGAAACGTCCGTGTGAAAGGACCCTAAATGTTTACTACTAATAGCCCTCACTTACAAAGTGGCCTCTATTATCTTTATCATTCTTCTCTGTATATCCCTCTGATGTTGGTTTAGGTTTGTTATCAAACACATTGACAAGTTCCTATTACTGTATGAAGCATGGTGGATGTCAGCAGAGGTTGTAGCATACTGCACTAGTTCTAAAACTTACACAACCATAGCAGAGGGCTTTTTGACTCACTTTGGCTCAACATCTCATTATTATGATTATTATTATACAGGATTTATATAGCACCAACAGTTTGCTCAGCGCTTTACAATAGAACGGGAGACAATACAGCAACAATACAGTTCAATACAAGAGGGTTAGGAGGGCCCTGCTCCTTGGAGCTTACAATCTAAGAGGGAGGGGCTAGTGGTACAAAAGGTAATAACTGTGGGGGATGAACTGGTAGGAGGAATAGAAGATTCTGTTATTAGCTGAGGGCAGGATAGGCTTCCCTGAAGAGAGAGGTTTTCAGAGATCGCCTAAAAATCTGATTAATAATTGACATCACAGTTTCATCCAGCTTTCTTAATCATCTAATTTAGGATTTCTCTACTGGGCTAAAGGTCCTCCACAGATTTCACATTGAAAAGGTTAATTTTATGACTTATTCTTTTATTTATTATTATACCTAAAACTCACTGTACATGCTAAGGTATTGTGAGTTGTAGGTCTTAGCAACATTTCAAGTTTAAAAAAATAGATAGATAGAGAAATGCTGCTCTGGACAATGGAATTAAACTTCTTCCTATTAAGCAGAATGCAGCTTATCCCATTATCAGGGGAATTCAATAAACCATGTATGTCACTATTCTGGTGGTATGACCCCCTTACATGCGTTAATTAAACGCACCTCTGGTGAGTGCGCACCCTATCTGCTCCTAGGATTTTTTATCTTTCTCACAACCACTGATCTGGGATGAGGACTTTTCATTTCCTACTGATTAGCGCACTGTTTACCATTGTGTCATAATTTGCATCTTTCTGATCATTGGCATATAGATGCATATATACTTTATAGAGAATTTTTTCTGTATTTTGATTATAGCGCTGCACCTATTTTCTCTTTTTATTGATTATTGTAACGTTGGTTGGTTGCCTTTTTTGGTGTTCTAGCCGCTTATACATTTCTGTCTGTAGCGCTCGCTATACCATTTTCACATAGTAAAACATTGCTGTTTCAAACCATTTCACATACATTTTGTCCCTAGTGCTTTGTCCTGTGCCCTGCCTACACTTTTACTGCTCTTTCTGCCTGGAAATTGAGAAATGTCCATGGCGTCCAAAAAGCGTCCCTTTAGGTCAAAAGCGGTTTTAGACCAGCTAGAGAACAGAGATAGTAAATCAGAACCATTTGCAGAATTGAGTGATAATGATTCGTGGGGGAAATTCGTCATCAGACACTGAACACGATTTTGCGACTTTGCTCAGTGATGTGCGAACTTGGCGCTATATTTCAAATTTCAGTGTTTTTTTGGTTTGATTATATTATTGAATTAAATGTATTATTATATTATTATTTTTTATGATTATTTATTAAATTATAATTTATGATTTCGTGTTTCAAATTTTATCCTACCCGGGATGTTTACTAGACTCTTGTTCGGACAGATTTCAGTGAGTTATTCCTAAATATTACAGCCTACAATAAAAAAAACTACATATTTCCATGCAAAATAATGGTACCGCTTTCAGCACCAAAAATCTGAAATAATCATACCGCTAGGGAGATTAAAAACAAGGAAAGCTTTGTGGCAGTTTTGTAACAGGTTAGTGAGTTCCAAATTGTCCGACAGATTTAGGTAATTCTTGTTTGTGTTACTTTAAGAACCTTTCGCTATGGTTGTGTCAGATTCAAAAAAGAATTTCCACCAGTTCATATATTAGGAAAATGGCAGTAATTAAAGTGGTTGTTAAGACAGAAGGTTTTTTTTTTTTTTACCTTACTGTATTCTATACACAAAGGTAAAAAACTTTCTGTGTGGAGTTCCCCTGTAGCCCCCTCTAAATACATACCTGAGCCCAATCTTGATCCAGCGATGAGACCAAAAGCTGAGGCTCTCTCACTCCTCAGTGGCTCAGATACAGTAGCAGGAGCCATTGGCTTCTGCTGCTGTCAATCAGAGCCAGTAACGAGGAGTGTGGGGGGAGGAAAGTCCTGCTTTGTTTGTCTTATGGACACACAGAAGGGCTCAGGAGCAGGCACACATGAGTGCCCCCAGGCTTGCTCTGAGGGCACTCGGGGGGGGGGGGGGGGGGGAGAAGAGGAGGATCGGGGCTGCTCTGTGCAAAACCATTGCACAGAGCAGGTAAGTATAACATGATTGCTATTTTAATAAAATAAAAAACAGAGTTTCACAATCACTTTAAGACCAACTCTGAGTTAGTGTACAGAGAGGCCTAAATGAGGCATGTATTTGCTGGGAAGCTGTCTTGACCATGGCAGCTTTCCACGCAGATCTCAAGCTTGTTAGGACTGTGGTGGCCGCTGGCTTCCTAGCAATGATGACTCATTCCTGGACACATTCAGCTGCTGATTTGGAGATTCACCAGCCCATAGCAGAATGCAAACAAAGGGGATGGAGATGCTTGCTGTAGTGGCTATATTCGGGTATCAACAGGAATTTTCCAGGCGGCTGCTGAATAGGGCTGGGGATGTATCAGTTGTGCGGCCAAGAGCATCATAGCAACCAACAATGCTGTGCTACTGGGGATGAACGTGGAGTGTCCACGGTATGAACACTCAATCCTCCGTGCCACTCACCACCTTGCTTTACATGTAGCACTCACCAGTGAGTTCAGTCCACATCAGATATGCTTTTTCAGGACTTGTAGACCCGCTTTTATTTAAACCAGAATGAAAAATGTTCCCAGCCATCAGTTTCCCTCGCAGGGGATTTCCACCATCAATATGAAATTAACAATATTTAACCTCCTGGCTCTCTTTAGGTGCCGTGTTGCACAGGTCTCGTGCCTCGATCCTCTTGACCGTCTAACACAGCATCCCTGTGCTCTCGTACAAATGCTGTACCTAGGTCAGCTCTCTCTTTCTTTTTCTCACTTTCCGTCTCTCAGGCTCAGGCCTCTGTCTATCCTGTCCCAGACAGCACCGTTCAGACATGCAGACAGACAGACACCCTCTCTGGCAGCTCCCTTGCAACCATACACATGGACTCCTAGGGAGGGTGGAGCCCAGCACCCTAGTTCTGATTACCCTAAGAACCCAGCACACGCCTGCACCATAAGTGTGCCTGTTCTCTGAAAACCTGGCCCAGACTGCCTTTTACATTGTGACAGGGTCTC